TGGGATTACAGGCGTGAGCCACCGTGCCTGGTCACAATTTAAAAATTAACAACAAAAAAAAATAGTGTAGACTATAATGTAGTCTAGTAATATCTGATAGCATGTCTTTTTTTTTTTTAAAAAAAAAAAGTACATTTCTTAATTTTAAAATATTGTTAAAAACCACTAAAAATTACTTTTTTTTTTTTTTTTTGAGACAGAGTCTCACTTTGTCACCCAGGCTGGAGTACAGTGGCACGATCTCGGCTCACTGCAGCCTCCACCTCCTGAGTTCAAGTGATTCTCCTGCCTCAGTCTCCCAAGTAGCTGTGATTACAGGCAAGCGTCACCACGATTGGCTAATTTTTCTATTTTTTGTAGAGACGGGGTTTCACCATGTTGGCCAGGCTGGTCTCGAACTCCTGTCCTCAGGTGAGCCACCCAACCTCAGCCCCTCAAAGTGCTGGGATTACAGACACTCCCACTGGGCCCGGCCAAGACCCACTAACAATTAACATGGGCCTTCAATGAGTTATAATCTTTGTGTTGGTGGAGGGTCTTGCCTCAGTGTTGATGGTTGCTGCCTGATCAAGTCAGGACTTACTAAAAGTTAGGGTGGCTATGACAATTTCTCTTTTTTTTTTTTCTTTTTCTTTTTGAGATGGAGTCTCACTCTATTGCCCAGGCTGTGAGTGCAGTGGCACAATCTTGGCTCAATGCAGCCTCCGCCTCCCAGGTTCAAGCAACTCTCCTGCCTCAGTCTCCCTAGTAGCTGGGATTACAGGCAACCACCACCACGTCTGGCTAATTTTTGTATTTTTAGTAGAGCAGGGCTTTCACCATGTTAGCTAGGCTGGTCTCCATCTCCTAACCTCAGGTCCGCCCACCTCGGCCTCCCAAAGTGCTGGGATTACAGGGGAGAGGTACTGCGCCCGGTCAGCAATTTCTTAAACAAGACAACCATGAAGTTTGCTGCACTGATTGACTTCTTTTCACAAAATATTTCTCTGTACCAGGCAGTATGGTCTGATAGCATTTGAACCACAGAACTATTTTCAAACCTGAAGTCAATCCTCTCCAATCTGCCAGTGCTTCATCAACTAATTGTATATAAAATTCTAAATCTTTTGCTGTCATTTTATCTGTGTTCATAGCATCTTCAGCAGGAGCTGACTCCATCTCAAAAAACCACTTTCTTTGCTCATCTGTAAGAAGCAACTTCTCATGTGTTCAAGTATTATCATAACATTGCTATTGGCCTGTTTTGCTTTCTTATCATTAGTGTATTCACTGGAGTAGCACTTGTAGATCCTTTATGTCATGGACAGGAATTCAGCCACATCTCTAGGTTCCACTTCTAATTCTAGTTATTTTGCTATTTCTACCACACCTGCAGTTCCTTCCTCCATTGAAGTTCTAAACCCCTCAAAGTCATCCATGAGCATTAAAATCAACTTCTTCCAAACTCCTGTTAATGGTGGTGCCATTTTGACTTCTCATGAATCACAAATATTCTTAATGGCATCTGGAAAGGTGAATTATTTGCAGAAGATTTTCAATTAATGTTGCTCAGATCTATCACAGGAGTAACTATCTATGGCAGCTATAGCCTAATGAAAGATACTTAAGTAAGAACTGAAAGTCAAAATTACTCCTTTATCCACGGGCTGCAGAAAGAATGCTGTATTAATGGTTGAGAAAACTTTACTGAGGCAAGAGGATCACGTGAGACCAAGAGTTTGTGAGACTAGCCTGGGAAACATAG